CTTCTAAGTGGCTTAAAAAATACTCTATGCATATTATGTAAGTTCCAAAGACACCTCATTTTACTCTTCACCCTTCCAGCACTGGTAAGGCAGCCAACTGTGTTAAGCATGAGGAAACAGAAGAAAAAGAGGGATGGAAAAACCAGAAAGTCTGTAATTTTCTTGAGGCCACACCCAGCCAGGAATGGCTGACAAGGAATAAATAACAGCAGCTAAACGGCAGACAGGCCATCTGCAAGCCAAGTCTAGGCGTGCCACACATTCCTGTCCTTTCTTCCCCATGCAGTGGGTTGTCACACTTTCTGCGACCAAAAATGATTTCAGAAGGCCATACATGTGCTGAGCACTGTGTGGAATTCAAAAGCATAAGACATGCCCCTGCCTCTGTAACTAGTCACTTCCCATCTTATTCCCTTGGGAAACTGTGTGGCAATGAAGGTAGTAAGTTCACATTAGGATAACTATCGACGTGAAATTGTCTTGTTTTCTGTAGGGACACTATTCCCATGTTGACAACTAAGTCCCTTGAACCACAGTTGTCTGTCTGGCTTGCTCTGTCCCTAGTGCCCGGGACAGAGGCTCAACAAATATTCATTGCATGAACAGAATGGAGGGTACAGGAATATCGTGTGAAGCACTGAGTTCCCTTGGCAAGACAGTCAGCAATTTAGTAAGTGACAGGAATTGCTATAGAATGCCAAAGACGGTTTGAACAAGGCCTAGGATTGAAGGAGCAGAACAAAAGGAGTGAGACTAGCATGGTAAGAATGTGTAAGGCCCCCAAACAGAGTATGTGAGCTGGCGATGCAATTGAGATGACCCCTCCTGACTTGGGGTATGTTGCATGGGCCATGGTGGTAATACGTACATAACAGCTTGATCATGACTCTCCCAGCAGAGCAAGGACAGTTCCTGGATTTCAGAATCATACTTTCATAAGTGCCATTGCCAAGAGGTCCACCCAGGACTGAGGTAGGCTAAGTCACATGCTGGAACGGACCACCAAGACCCATTACATCCTCACTGCTGGGGACCTGGCTCCATGGGGCAGTGACTGATTTCCATGCTCTCATCAACCACAGTTCCAACAAATAATTAACTTTAAGTTTCTCTGCTCAGAACACAGCCTTTAAATCTCAACTCTGCCAACATCCTAACTCCTACATGTCCATTTTACAGGTTTTCTTATCATAACCTTTTCCTCTAAACATACCACAATTTTAGCTGAAAAACAAATCATTGCAGATTCTTCTAATTTAATCTGAGTATTTAAAGAAAATAAAAGGATTTTAATGTGTGAAGAATAGTACTCTCTATAACATATAAAAGTAAATTTTATTTTAGATCAGAAATTAATGGCAAAACCCTTTTTGTTTCTTAGTGATGCCAGCCATTTGGTTTTTATCTCCACAAGGTGAAAAGTAAAGGAATGGTTTCAATAATGGCAGTAGATGCCTTTTAGTGTCCATACATCATGTGCCAGGCATAATATATTTATACTTTTCAAACATATTTTCTAACCCTCATAATAATGGTTTAAAGTACATAAAATCATCCCCATTTTCTAGTTGAAGGAAAAGAGGATCAGTTAGGTTACACGACTTGCCCAAAGCTCTGCAGTAGTCAGTGGTAGAGGTAAGATTAAAAATAATCCCGTCCCTTGCAAGTTTATAAAATGTTCAATTGCTTGATTTTTTAAGTTTCAAAATCAAAGACCACACAACACTCAAAGAACAAAATGCAAAGAGTTTTGTTTTTGTGGGTTTCTTGTTTCCTCCTTACTGTCGTTCCGCAGCTCTGTAAGCAAAAGCTAACCTGCCTTGATCGCAAGCTCACTGTGGACAAAGGCTGAGTCTAATGTATCTTCATAGCCTCAGGATCTAGTACAGTTGTAGGAAGAGAAGGAAAGGCGGAAGGAGAGAAGAAGAACCAGAACTGAGTCAATGGGAGGTAGCCGGGCTTAGTAAGCACCAGGCATCACCTCCTGAGGGAGGCCTGGGAACTCACTCATTTAACCTTGACAGCAACCCAGCGTGGCAGGTATAACTGCTCCTGTTTTTGCTCATTGGGTAATTGACTCAAGGAGTTAAAGAATGGATGTGTAAGTGATAGCATCAAGATTAGAATCCAGGTGGTTTGGCTCTAGGTCAAACTCTTAACTCCCCCTCCCCCCAGTCAAGCTCCCTCTCTCTCCTATGGCAGAACAAGGCCGCATTAGCCACAAGGGACACCTGGCTTCACCCTCGAGCTTTGTGAATAATGAAAGTGTTAAGCAGACAAACCACACATTGATATACATATTAAGAAATGGGCTTTCTCTATTCAAAATCTACAGTTGTGTTAACTACACATGTAAACCTGCTCTTGCCTGGTATGTGCTGCTGGGTGTCGTAGCTTTTCTTGCTATGGGCTCCCACAGCTGGGGTTTGTGTGCACCGTTCAATGGTCCCACCAGCGTGAAATGGAGGTTGATTGAAAAGCAGGGAACCCTCAGCCAGAAGGGTTCAGTCTGAGTCCAGATTGAGATTTAATGCCAGGGCTTTAAGATGAGGCAATGAAACCACTACTCTAACAGAGAAAAGAGAGTAAGTCCAGGGTGCTGGTACCAATGGCACCAGTAAGGGTGCAAGGTCAAGTGCTATGGGGGGCCATGCCCTGCCACCTCCAAAGTGCTGGATTACAGGTGTGAGCCATTGTAACTGGCCCTAGTCTATTGTTAGTAACCTTTTTTAGTTTAATCAAGCACAAGATATAACAACAAGATTAATAATGCACAGGGGTGTACTGCATGTACCCCTAAACCCAAGGTTAAAGGAAAATGTCTTCTCTCTCCCGACGCTGGCCGACCGCTCACACTGCTGGTGAGGGGCCGTGTCTGGACTTCTTTTTTTCACTCTGCCCTATATTCAACATAGCAAGTGTGAATAGTAATCAGGTGATTTCTGGTAATTAGTTTCCTCAGCACTATGTTCACTTTCTTTTGGTTTTGATGGGTCAATAAAGTGGTGAATTATCCCAGTCATAACTTAAATGACCCTGCCAAGAGAAATCAATCCAGAAAATCTGTTGTTACCGGGATGTGGCTGGCTTCTGTTTGAAAAGTTTAGCACGTACTGGAAGAGCACCGGTTGGCCGACTGACTTCTAAGGTCAGTGGAGAAAAGCCGCCAAAAAATGGTACAAGCATGAATATTGCAAAAAATTCCAATGCTGAGAAAGCTTATTTGGAAAGATGATCTCAGTGCCAAGACGGTATATGGAAACTGATCACAAATTTGGCTTTAATTTTTAAGATCACTCTCTCTCTCCTCTTCACGCGCTCCTCTTGCTCTGTTTTCCCCCCTTATTTTATGCATAAAAATGCAACCAGCCTGAACTAAAGCAAATTGGTTTAATTCCCTGGAGGGAGCGTGAACAAATTTTCCCAGCATCTTTCTACTAGAGGCATTTGTGTGTGGCTATGTGGATGGAATGTGAAGCAGTCAGCTACGTAAACCAGTAATCAAATGAAACATTACCCATTTCAAAATGC